CTGGCCATGGTGCACATGCCTGTAGTCCTGGCTACTCAGGATCTGAGGTGGGAGGATCACTTAAGCTCAGGAGGAGGAAGTTGCAGTGAGATATGACGATGCCATTGTACTCTAGCCTAGGCAACGAATAGAGTCCTTCTCTTAAAAACAAAAACAAAACAGGGCAGTGCCTGTGGCTCAGTGGGTAGGGCGCTGGCCCCGAATACTGAGGGTGGCAGGTTCAAACCCAGCCTCAGCCAAACTGCAAGAAAAAAATAGCTGGACATTGTGGCTGGCACCTGTAGTCCCAGCTACTCAGGAGGCTAGGGCAAGAGAATCGCCGAAGCTCAGGAGTTGGAGGTTGCTGTGAGCTGTAATGCCACTGCACTCTATCAAGGGCGATAAAGTGAGACTCTGTCTCTACTAAAAAAAAGAAAAAGAAAGAAAGAAAAGAAAAACAAAACAAAAAACAGAGGGGGGAAAAGCACAAAAATTAAAACTTGGGCACCATCAAAAAAGTGAAAAGATAACCCACAGAATGGAATAGAATATTTTCAAATCATTTGTCTGATAAAGAATTTATTTCTAGAATATGTAAAGAACTTTTGCAACTCAACAATAAAAAGACAACCAAATATTTTTCTTTTTTTTAAGACAGAGTCTCATGCTGTTGCCCAGGCTAGAGTGCCCTGACATCAGCCAGGCTCATAGCAACCTCAGACTCCTGGGTTCAAGTGATCCTCCTGCTTCAGCCTCTTAAGTAGCTGGGAATACAGGCACCTGCCATAAGAGGTCTTGCTATTGCTCAGAATGGTCTTAAAATCCTAAACTCAAGCAACCCTCCCACCTCCACCTCCCAGAGGACTAGAGTTACAGGAGAGGCCTCCTCTCCAGGCCTCTTTCTTTCTTTTTTTGTTTTTTATTTTTTGGAGATGAAGTTTTACTATGTTGCCCTGACTAGACTCAAACTCCTTGGTTCAAGCAATACTCCTGCCTCATCCTCTCCAGTACAGGTGCCTACTGCTGCACCTGGTATAACCAAATTTTAAAATGAGCAAAGTATCTAAATAGACATTTCTCCAAGGAATATATAAGTGGCTAACAGCATATAAGAAGATACTCGACATATTTAGCTGTCAAGGAAATGCAAATCAAAACCTATAATGAAATACCACTTCACACCCACTATTATGGCTAGAATCAAGACAATAGATTGTTAAGGCCAGGTGAGGTGGCTCATGCCTATAATCCTACCACTCTAGGAGGCTGAGGCAGTGGATTGCTCTGAGCTCACAGATTTGAGACCGGCCTGAGCAAGAGTGAGACACTGTCTCTAAAAATAGCTGGCCATGGTTCGGCACCTCTGGCTCAAGCGGCTAAGGCGCCAGCCACATACACCTAAGCTGGCGGGTTCAAATTCAGCCTGGGCCCGCCAAACAACAATGATGGCTGC